GGGGGGAATTTTTTTACGGGGGGGTTTTTTTTCGGGGGGGGGCCGCTTTTTTTCGGGGGGGGTTTTTTTAAGGGGGGGGGTCTGTTTTTTTGCGGGGGGGTTTTTTTAAGGGGGGGGGTAATTTTTTTTGAGGGGGGGTTTTTTTAAGGGGGGGGGTAATTTTTTTTTGGGGGGGGTTTTTTTTTGGGGGGGGGGTCTTTTTTTTATGGGGGGGTTTTTTTACGGGGGGGGGATGATTTTTTTGTGGGGGGGTTTTTTTTAGGGGGGGGGGGCATTTTTTTTGGGGGGGGTTTTTTTGAGGGGGGGGGTCATTTTTTTTACGGGGGGGTTTTTTTTAGGGGGGGGGGCTCTTTTTTTAGGGGGGGGTTTTTTTACGGGGGGGGGGTATTTTTTTTAAGGGGGGGTTTTTTTAGGGGGGGGGGAAAATTTTTTTACGGGGGGGTTTTTTTCTGGGGGGGGGTAGATTTTTTTACGGGGGGGTTTTTTTAGGGGGGGGGGATATTTTTTTTTGGGGGGGGTTTTTTTTAGGGGGGGGGAGTTTTTTTTTAAGGGGGGGTTTTTTTACGGGGGGGGGAGTCTTTTTTTGTGGGGGGGTTTTTTTGCGGGGGGGGGAAWTTTTTTTTACGGGGGGGTTTTTTTTCGGGGGGGGGCTGATTTTTTTATGGGGGGGTTTTTTTAAGGGGGGGGGRGTATTTTTTTCAGGGGGGGTTTTTTTAGGGGGGGGGGATACTTTTTTTGAGGGGGGGTTTTTTTAAGGGGGGGGGCATTTTTTTTTTAGGGGGGGTTTTTTTAAGGGGGGGGGAAATTTTTTTTGGGGGGGGGTTTTTTTCAGGGGGGGGGTGCATTTTTTTTAGGGGGGGTTTTTTTTAGGGGGGGGGAATTTTTTTTTTTGGGGGGGTTTTTTTAAGGGGGGGGGGTAGTTTTTTTTGGGGGGGGTTTTTTTCAGGGGGGGGGTGTATTTTTTTAAGGGGGGGTTTTTTTTCGGGGGGGGGACCGTTTTTTTATGGGGGGGTTTTTTTAAGGGGGGGGGCTTATTTTTTTCTGGGGGGGTTTTTTTTAGGGGGGGGGGATCTTTTTTTCTGGGGGGGTTTTTTTCAGGGGGGGGGTTGATTTTTTTAAGGGGGGGTTTTTTTTAGGGGGGGGGTAACTTTTTTTGTGGGGGGGTTTTTTTCTGGGGGGGGGCGTYTTTTTTTCAGGGGGGGTTTTTTTTTGGGGGGGGGGTTGTTTTTTTTAGGGGGGGTTTTTTTCTGGGGGGGGGATGGTTTTTTTTAGGGGGGGTTTTTTTATGGGGGGGGGMAGTTTTTTTTATGGGGGGGTTTTTTTTTGGGGGGGGGGGCATTTTTTTGTGGGGGGGTTTTTTTCAGGGGGGGGGAGACTTTTTTTATGGGGGGGTTTTTTTCAGGGGGGGGGTGCATTTTTTTCAGGGGGGGTTTTTTTATGGGGGGGGGCTGTTTTTTTTAAGGGGGGGTTTTTTTTTGGGGGGGGGGTAATTTTTTTTGGGGGGGGTTTTTTTTCGGGGGGGGGCGGTTTTTTTTCCGGGGGGGTTTTTTTGAGGGGGGGGGGGAATTTTTTTTTGGGGGGGTTTTTTTGTGGGGGGGGGTTAGTTTTTTTAAGGGGGGGTTTTTTTGAGGGGGGGGGGTGTTTTTTTTGCGGGGGGGTTTTTTTCCGGGGGGGGGGTCTTTTTTTTGTGGGGGGGTTTTTTTGAGGGGGGGGGCTGTTTTTTTTTCGGGGGGGTTTTTTTYAGGGGGGGGGCTGCTTTTTTTGTGGGGGGGTTTTTTTGGGGGGGGGGGATACTTTTTTTTAGGGGGGGTTTTTTTTTGGGGGGGGGAAGCTTTTTTTCCGGGGGGGTTTTTTTCAGGGGGGGG